CTAGGGCCCCCACCCACCGCTCAGTGGTGGGGGCCAGGGGGGAGGACATCAGGTCCCCCCTTATTCTTGTTTAGGGCCCCCACCCACCGCTCACGGGTGGGGGTCAGGGGGGAGGACATTAGGTTCCCCCCTTATTCATGTTTAGGGCACCCACCCGCCGCTCAGGGGTGGGGTTCAGGGGGTGAGGACATTAGGTCCCCCCCCCCCTTATTCCAATTCAGGGAGGAGGACAATAGGTCCCCACATCAATTTACTTTAGGGCCCCCACCCGCCGCTCAGGGGTGGGGGGCGGGGGAGGGCAATATTTTTATTTATTTTTTTAAACAGTGAGCAGGCTGCTCACTGTTTAATAGACATGCCCCTACTTGCGGTATAGCAAGTAGAGGCAAAATTTACTAATACTAAGTAATTTTTACTTAGTATTAGTAAATTTGGCTGAAAGACCAATTTAGGTCATTTAGCCTTTTGGTAGATAACTCCCTAATACCGTGGGAATTAGGGAGTTATCTACTAAGCGGCTGCAATAGAAGTCCCGAGGTGCCAAAGTCCCGAAATGTCGAAGTTCCGAAATTCGGAAGTTCCGAAGTGTCTAAGTGCCGAAATTGCCGAATTGCGAAAATCCAGAATTTCGGAATGCCGAACCGAACCGAAAATTTTCCCCATGCACATGCCTAGTGCCAATAATTCTTACACTACAGAACTTACATTTAAGGCATTGGAGGAAGTTTAGAGAAAGACTGTGCAATAGAGGAAACAGTTATGATAACTATATACAAAAAATAGTTAAGGTCAAAGTGTTCCCTCGGAATCTGTTTAACATGGCTTCATGGAGGACATAAGGTTCTCACCTGAGAATTAAGGGGACACTATAGTGACCAGAGCAACTACAGCTTATTGAATTTGTTCTGGTGAGTAGAATCATTCCTTTCAGGCTTTTTGCTGCAAATACTGTATTTTCAGAGAAAATGCAGTGTTTACATTACAGCCTAGTGATAACTCAACTAGTCACTCTTCAGATAGCTACTAGAGAAGCTTCCTAAGGCAGTGCTGCACAGTGACTTGTTTGACTTGTGCTGGCTCTGCACCTGATCTGCCTTCTTGACTGTCTCAGCCAATCCAATGTGGAAGCTTTGTGATTGGCTCAGCCTACCACTTCTGATGATGTCAACAGACAGGGGCAGCAGCTGTAGACTTGAATACAAGTAAGACCTTACTATGTTTAGGGAGGCAAGAGGGAGCCAGGGGGGCTAGATGGTGGTTTGAACACTATCGGGCCACGAATACATGTTTGCATATTACTCATTTTATTTATTAGTCAGATTTTAAGTTATTTTCACAAGTCAGCTCCTGGTATCCATGCACTATCCCCTAGAGTGCTCTTCTTGTTATTAGTTATAGGTTTTTGTGAATCCCTATTATTTCCAGTCTGAGCGACTTAGTGCCAGTTGAACTCCCTCTCCTCTGTGCACACAATAGGTGTACCAGAACTTTTTATCCCTTTTGTGATTGGCTCAGCCTACCACTTCTGATGATGTCAACAGACAGGGGCAGCAGCTGTAGACTTGAATACAAGTAAGACCTTACTATGTTTAGGCAGGCAAGATGGGGCCAGGGGGGCTAGATGGTAGTTTGAACACTATCGGGCCAGGAATACATGTTTGTGTTCCTGACCCTATAGTGTTCCTTTAAGAAAAAAAAGGATTTTCATTTAAATGAAAGAGGTTAATATATACTTTACTACACAGAAGAAACGCAGAATTATAATTTTATATCCTTTAAAGCTTAAACAGACACTCTAAGCACTAAACAACTTTAGCTTAATAAAGCAGTTTTGGTGTATAGATCATGACCCTGCAGTCTCACTGCTCGATTTTCTGACATTTAGGAGTTAAATCACTTTTGTTTCATTAATGCAGCCCTCCCATCTGTGTCTCATCAGGGTTATGGGTGCCCAAGGCTCGGTGGTGCAAGTAGGAAGTCAAGGCTAGCCCATCTGGTCCGATCACACAGAACAGCTACTGTAGCTTCAATTGCTGAAATAAATCGTAATACTAGTCATGTTAGAAAGGTGTCAGAATACACAGTGCATCGCAGTTTGCTGCATAGCCTCAGCTCCGTCAGAGTGTCCATGATGACCCCTGTCCACCACCAAAAACGCCTTTAATGTGGACTTAAGCATCAGAACTGGACCATGGAGCAATGGAAGAAGGTTGCTTGGTCTAATGCATGTTTTCTTTTAGATCAGGTTGATGGCCGTGTGCATCATTTACCTGGGATGCACGATGGGAAGATGGAAGCCCGGAGGAGGCAGTGTTGTGCTCTGGGCAATGTTCTGCTGGGAAACCTTGGGTCCTGGCATTCATGTGAATGTTACTTTGACACGTACCACCTACTTAGAGATTGTTGCAGACCACATACAGCTCTTCGCGGCAATGGTGTTCCTTGATAGCAGTGGCCTCTTTCAGCAGGATAATGCACCATGCCACATTGCAAACATTGCTCAAGAATGGTTTGAGGAATGTGACAAAGAGATCAAGGTCTTGCCTCAACCTCCAAATTCCCCAGATCTCAATCCAATTAAGCCTCTGTGGGATGTGCTGGAACATCCAATCCGATCCAAGGAGGCCCCACCTCGCAACTTGTAAGACTTAACGGATCTGCTGCTAATGTCTTGGTGTGTCTTAGAGTAGCCTTTTATTGTGGCCAGCCTAAGGCACGGCTGTGCAATAATCATACTGTTTAATCAGCATCTTAATTTGCCACACCTGTGAGGTGGATGGATTATCTCGGCAAAGGAGAAGGGCTCACTAACACAGATTTAGACAGATTTGTGAACAAAATTTGAGAGAAATAGGCCTTTGTGTACATAGAAACAGTCTCAGGTCTTTGAGTTCAACTCATGAAAAATGATGGCAAAAACATAAGTGTTGCGTTTATAATTTAGTTTAGTGTAAATTAACCTGGTCACAAACTCCTGTCTTTTAAGCAGACAACCTGGTTACTTCCTGGTATGGTTAGTTCAGTGGCCCTGCAAAGGCTTCTTAGTGAGCTGCCTTGGGAAATCTGTTTTTGGAGAGCCACAGGAAGACTGGGCAGGTTTAGAAGGGGAGATAAGAAAACTACAGGTTTTGCAAGTTGTTTTTAGATGTACCGCCGATTAAAAAAGACATAATTAAATATATGCAAGTTTTCATTTTGGGTATACCTGCCACGCAGTTTTTGTATTTATTTGTATTTGATTTATTTTGTATTTGGGCAATGGAGTGTCCCTGGAAGTAAATTCCAACCATGCCATTATCAGAGAAAAAAAGTTCTGTGCACTGTAATGCATTGTGTGAGTAAGTCAAACACAATAGTGTTACAGTAGTACTAAATCCACAAAGGAGCAACTCAGTTATCAAAACAAACATGAAGCAGGGTGAAACTACTATAAAGACAGGCAGTACCTCATCCACTAGTACCACCCGGAGATGGCACGGAAATGTTGTGTATAATGCCAGTAGATGACAGAGGAAGGTTGGACAGGAACAGTTAAACTCCTTATAAGCCGAGGGAAGTGTCCACCAGGCGACTCTTGAAAATGCTGTTGGTTTTATATCCACAGTCATGTCAAAACAGCAAGCTAAAAAATCACCCGCCTAAGTGCTCAGATTTATGCTCCTACTGGCCAGCATATGGGTGGCAGCATACGGTGCCTGAGTAGGATGGTGGAGGATGAAGTCCAACCTTGCTGCAAACCATACTTGAGTGTTGCAGGCGGAGGCAAGCTCTTTCATATCCTATATATTTTCTTACTCCAGATACATAATAATCAAAATTTTTCAACATAGTCATTACAAAAACAGCTGATACTGTGAAGCCATTAGGTCAGGCAGTATTGTAGCCATATCAGCACAGTCATAGTCCTTTGTCATAGCCATCACCAACGTTCAGCTGAACCAAAAAGTGATAGGAAATAAATTCTGTGGACCCGAAAAAATTATTATTTTTTTTTTACATTCTGCTTTGGTATTTAAAAATGTTAATGTATCACCCTGCACAAGTCTAGCAATAATGCAGAAAGAGAAATGAGACTCATAGATGAAAAAGCGGACAGACATACACAGGGAATGATTAAGGGAACATTCCAGTTACCATAACAACCTCATCTAAATGAAGTTGTTATGGTGCTAGGAAGTCCCCGGGACATGCTTACCTTGAGGGGTTAAACCGTTCTCGAACAGTTTAACCCCAAAAGTTGGCTTCAGTGCCGATCTAGTACCCCAGGCAGCATTCAGCTTCTGGAACACGGAATTCTGCCAGGCAGTGGTGCCGCTGATTGGCTAGATCTTTCAGCTGGCGCTCTAATCAGTAGTTCCTCATTTATAAAAAAAAGTACTTTTCTTGTCTTGACTGTCTGGGCTATTCACTAATGTCCAAATGTCCCCAGTTTAAATTATCATAATAATCTGAAACTATCTGGGGGCATTCAGACACCAAAGTTCAGACATTCTTTTCTAGATCTCTCAAAACATTCTCCGAATTAGATTGTAACCCTATGGAACAAGCGCAGTTTAGTGGAATATGGGCTTGACAGAGCTAGGAGGCGGGCATAGGGGGAAGGCACCATGTGGGAGTGGAGTTAGAGTGTAAAGGGGGTTGGCCCAGTATAAATAGGCAGCCATTTTAGAAGCAGGCACTTTTAATGTGCTTACCTAGCCTAAGTTGTGTGCAATTTCAGCCTGCAGCTTGGGCCTGGTAGGTATTCTGCTTTCTTTTGCTGCAAGTTAAAGGCCCAGAGGATGGATCCAGTGGAGCAGCAGCCCGGGATCGTGGAGCAGTATGGGTGCAGGAGCGCCTTGGACCGGCCCTTGCGGGGATCAGGGAATGGCGGCGGGACCGGCCGCCCGGCGCAGAGGAGACCGCCACAGAGATGCCAGGCCCGCCGGCGGACACGGTGCAGTGGCGGCAGATCGGAGCCGCAAGGTTGGAGGCCAGCGCATGGGACGTGGAAGCACGCGGCCGCATGGCCAGGCGGAAGGCAGTGCGGCTCCCCAGGCGGGGGAAGCCGGGTGAGGCACTGCCTCTGCTGCGACCGGTAGGGGGAGCCCAGGACTGCTGATCATGGGGCCGCGCTTCGGAGGTACATGGTGGCAACGAAGGGTCCCTGGCAAGGCAGGTGGGCCAGGCTGGTCGCACTTTTGGGAGCAAGGAGGTACGACCCGGGAGGTGTGAACGGCGTGGTAGACGCCAGTCTCAGAGGAAGGCGGGCTTATCCAGGGAAGTGTGGGCCCCCAGCAGATCCAGGAGCGAGAGGGGGAGCCTGGCAAGCTCTGAGGTAGACAGCCTGGGGTCGGTTGGCAGCAGTGTCCCATGTGATTCCCACTCGAGGTCTGGACACCGGTCAGACGCTGCTGAATCTACCGGGGGCCGTTTGGCAAGTTCATGATCGGAGTCCTGTGGGAGTTTCCATAGTTATCCAATCCGGAGTCGTAGCCCCAGGGGTGGATTCGGCGGAGCCTCAGGTGTTCGCAGTGGCCGGGGTGGCCAGGAGAGAGGGCGGGATGCCTCGGGACCCAGCAGCCGATCCCAAGGTTACGGCAGGGAGGTCTCTGGTGACCGGTGCACTCTGCCCAGGAATGTCTCTTCTCATTGCAGGTCATGAAGCCAATCTTCTTCGTGGCGATCAAGACATCGGGTGGATTGCCTGGTTGGCAGAGTGTATGCACGGGTGGTCAGCCCTGGCCCTGTCAGATTCTGTAACGCAACCCAGGAGCCTGCTTCGGGTGCGTGCTTGGTTGGTGAGTTGGACACTACACAGCACTCACACGGTTTTATTGAATCACTACAATCTTTAATTGACTCCTGGGTCCAGTGTGGATCTACAAAAGGGGATATAGCTAAGGTGTGGGCTCCGGGTTCAGGTTTGTCGGGTGCGGGGAGCTCCGGCGGGCGTTCTGAGTCGAGTGCTGGGGCGACGGCAGCAGCAAGGGTAGAGGTGGCAGCTGAGACGACTGCGGTATCCTCGGAATTCACTATTGAGAGGGCAGAATTGTCCGGCGGCATTCCTGACGCAGCGCGGCAGCATGCGTACGCATCCTTTGCGGGCCCATTGAAGGTGCATTTGAAGCTGAAGGAGAAAATATGGAAAGGTAAGTTGTGCGAAATCTTCTCGCTCATGCCACTGGAGGACTACTTGGACTTCAAGCAGGAGGACAAGAAGGACGCAAAGAAGGAGGAGAAACGTAAGCGGTATCGGAAGATACCTAAATCCTTTCGGGAACTGGCTGCGTGCTTTCTGTATCTTAGCCAGTGTTATTGGGGAGAAGTCGCAGGGTCTGTGTTCCTAATTATTCTGCTACCTGGATAGGGTGTGGGAGGCTTACCGTACGTACAGTGGCCTGGCGTGGTGGAAATACGACAAGCAATTCCGGCAGCGACTTGCAGCGAACCCTGGGATGCAATGGGACCAGATGGACCTGCCGTTATGGATGAAGCTTTTGATGGCACAGAAGTCGACACCCTTTCAGTCGGCGGCCGGCACTGTAAGTCAGTCCTCTTCGTCGGCCACGTTCAAGCAAGGTGTTTGCTGGCTCTTTAATGAAGGCCAGTGCAAGTGGGGCACTGGGTGCAGGTTTAAGCATGAGTGCTCGGACTGCGCAGGAGCCTCAATAGATGCTTTAAGCGAGGTAAGTCTGGGGTGTCCTCTGGCGCGGGTTCTGGCAGGGCTGTTCGGTTGGTGGTCCACTACTTAGATGACTTTTTGTGCGTGGGGCCCGCTGACTCTTAGCACTGTTTCCACCTGCTGCAGACCATCGAGTGGGTGGCTGACAGGTTCGGGGTCCCCCTAGCGGTGTCCAAGACGGATATCGAGATAGACTCTCGGAAAGGGGAATGTCGTCTTCCCCAGGAAAAGCTGGTGGGGTTGCGTGCGGTGGTGGTAGAAGTGCGGCAGGCGCGTAAGGTAATGCTGCGTCAGCTCCAATCGCCCATGGGCACGTTGAATTTTGCTTGCAGGGTGGTGCAGATGGGGAAAGTTTTCAGTAGAAGTCTGGCCAGGGCCACATCGGAATCCGTTCGCCTCATCACTTTGTTAGGATTACCTCCGCAATGAAGGCTGACTTGGAGGTCTGGGGTGTGTTCCTATGGGGGTTTAACGGGACGGTGATTTTCCGGCAGGCAGGGGTTACAGCCGCGGATCTGGAGCTGTTCACGGACGCTTCGGGTAGCATGGGCTTCGGGGCGTACTTCGGAGGACGCTGGTTTCTCGAGCCATTTCTGCTTCTAGTGGTGATGTTGCTTTGGGGTCACTTGCCGAAAGATGGTTTTTCACACGGACAACATGTCCGTGGTACATGCGGTTAACTGGTTGTCGGCGGTGGTGGTGCGGCTTTTGCGAAAATCTGTCCTTATGTGTATGTCTCACAATGTGGTCTTCAGCGCACAACATGTCCCTGGTTACTTGAACATTGTGGCTGACACTTTGTCTCGCTTTCAGTGGTCCCGGTTCCGAACGGCGGTGCCCGAAGTGCTGGAAAAGAGGAAAGATTGCCCGGAAGACATGTGGTAGCTCAGAATAGACTGTTTGGGAGACTTGTGAAGGCTTCTTTGGCTCCTGGCACGTGGACGGCATACTGTAAGGTTTGGGAGTTATGGGAGGCTTCGTGGGCCTGGCTGGAGCTGGAGACATGCAGGAAGGCATGCATTGATGCCCTATTGTGGTTCGCGTTAGAGCTCATGGCTAGGGGCGCTTGCCCGGCGGTAGTGGACAGGAATATGGCGGCGTTCGCATTTTGGTCCAAGCTGCGTGGTTGGGGGGACTTGACGAAGCATTTTGTGATACGGCAAGCGTTACAGGGTTTCCAGGAGGTGCACGGTTCCTCATGCACTGCGACCAGTATCCATCAATGTTCTGGAGAGCCTGGTAGGTGTGCTGCCCGAGATTTGCTTCTCGGGCTTTGAGGGCGGTGCTTGGCGCGGTGTTTGTTTTGGCCTTTTTTTCGGGGCTTTTTGTATTGGGGAACTGGTCAATGCGAACAAGCAAGGTCGGGGCAGCATTCAGGCGTCGGATGTCTCTACGGGGGTGGATAGAGTGGTAATCCACTTATCTAGGTCGAAGGCAGATGTGTGGGGGAAAGGGACAGATGTGGTGTTGCACGCCCTCCCAGGCTCATGGTTGTGCCTAGTTACCAGCTTGGCACGGTATCGGGAGTTGCGACCAGTGGGTGAGGGTGCCTTTTTCCTACATGAGGATGGTTCGGCGCTGTCACACTTCCAGTTTGAGCAGGTTTTTCGCTTGGGGCTTCGGAGGTTGGGTCTGAGGCCAGAACAATTTGGGACGCACTCCTTCCGGATTGGGGCAGCTACAGAAGCCACGTGATTGGGAGGTGGGATGGTGGGAATCTGCTCGGTTTCGCTCCTACGTGCGACTGGGTATGCTGGTGTGATTCAATTAAGGGATTTGGGGTCTCTTGGCTGATGGTTCTGTTTTGTTTCCACAGGTCGAGTTGCGTGGATCATGGGACATTCGTTCGTGTTCTGGGCTAAGAGGAGGGCTGCAGCTCGTATACAAGGACAGCAGCTCGGCTTTCCAATCGACCAGATCTCAATTAAGTGGTTCGGTTACTGGGGAGCTAGTTGGGGAGATGTTATTGGGGCAGTGTTTAGGCTCGTGGAAAGCGGGAAGGTCTCCTGATTTCCTGCTATTACATGCTGGGGGCAACGATTTGGGCCTGGTGTCCCAAAGACGATTGGTAAAGTGGATGAAACAGGACATTAACCGGCTATGGGACTTGGTGCCTGGGGTTTTGGCTGTCTGGTCCAAAATGGTCCCCCGACTTCAGTGGCGTCATGCCAGGGATACGACCGCTATCAAGCACTGCCGGGATAAAGTGAATAGCCTGATGGCCAGTTTTGTTAGAAAGGTCAGGGGGTGGTGAATCGGCACAGAGAGCTTGAGGACAGGTTGCCTGGGTATTTTAGGCAAGATGGGGTCCACCTCATGGACATGGGGTGGGATCTCTTGAATCTTGGGTTCCAAGAAGGATTGAGTAGGGCCTTGTTACTTAGGGGTGGCGGAGCTCAGATGGCTTAAGGGATCAAGGTCTGAGCTTGTGACAGGGCTAGAGAGAGAAAAGTTAGGGGACAAACAGGCTCTGGGGTAGTGTAAATAGGATAGGGCAGTTAGACTGCTGGCGAAGAGTTTGGTTAAATGGTTCATTATAAACTTTGGTAGGTTTTCGAGCTCGGTGGTGGCTCAGAACCTGGTGTGTGGTAGGGGTATCCGGGTATGCCCCTACCATGGTTATTTAACAAAGTTTGGAACTTATATTATGTTTATGATGTTTGTTATTAATGTTGTTGATGTTATTTATATTTACAGAAAGAATGGGTCATTGCCTTTTGTTTTGGGGACATATGATGTTATATGGCGGGATGGGGGCTGGGCAATGACTTTAATTTATTGTTATCAATATTAATAACGCTGAGGACATATTGACCCATACATCAGTGTCAGTGTGTTTTTGGGGTAAGTTTTTTGGGGGAATTCCACCTGCCCATATGGCGACTATGCGCCTGTCATCAATGCAATCCATTTTAAGTCTGCCTGTACTAAAATAAATGAAGGTAGCCTCGCTTGATAAAGGCAATTCTGCTGAAATGTTGGGGGCTTCTTTTTTATTTTCGCCCTCTTCTCACTACTTTTGGTATTTTTCTGTTGATGGTATGTATTATTTGTTGGGTAGCTTTTTCTGTGTATCTACAGTTGCAAGAAAAAGTATGTGAACCCTTTGGAATGATATGGATTTCTGCAAAAATTGGTCATAAAATGTGATCTGATCATCATCTAAGTCACAACAATAGACAATCACAGTCTGCTTAAACTAATAACACACAAAGAATAAAATGTTGCCATCTTTTTATTGAACACACCATGTAAACATTCACAGTGCAGGTTGAAAAAGTATGTGAACCCCTAGACTAACGACATCTCCAAGAGGTAATTGGAGTGAGATGTCAGCCAACTGGAGTCCAATCAATGAGATGAGATTGGAGGTGTTGGTTACAGCTGCCCTGCCCTATAAAAAACACACACCAGTTCTGGGTATGCTTTTCACAAGAAGCATTGCCTGATGTGAATGATGCCTCGCACAAAAGAGCTCTCAGAAGACCTACGATTAAGAATTACATTTTATGACCAATGTGTGCAGAAATCCACATCATTC